GTGAAGGTGAGTGCGTACAAGTGAAGGTGAATGCATTAAGGTGAATGTCAGTGAATACAAATGTATGGAAGTGTGAGTTGATCTTTTTGCCATATTAGGATATACCATACATGGTATAAACATTAAGTGCTCTATATGCATGCTAGCATGAAGTTCTTACCTAAGGGTCAGTGTTTTGTCCATCACCGGAATTAAGTCTTATCCATCCAGCCCATGGGAGGTCTTTTTGGTTTTACCTTCCCCTCCCCCATCAAATCCCCTGGAAATTCCAGTTTAGCTTCGTATTTTCCTTTAAGTGTTTTTCATTTAGTCCCCTCGGAATTTCCAGTAAAGGTTAAGAATCTAATCCCACCACTGATGCATCCATTGGGAGTGGGGAGGGGTAAAGATGTCTTCTGGAACTGCAAAATTCAAGCATATCCACACTTGTGTCGTAATTCTTTAAATTATCTTATTTATTGACATACAGAATGCAGCTTTGCACAACTGAACACTGGACAGGTATTTGACAACCACAAGTTATTAAACACAAGCCATGGAGGTTGTAGTAAGCACATCCCTGGAATCAGTATCCTCAAAGAAGTCAATAATTCTAAAACCAGAACATCAGAGTGATGTGAAGGTAGTCTTGGTGAAACACCATCTTACATCATCTGGTGAAAAAGAAAAGGAACCCAAAGCAACCTATTCTAAGGCAGATGACCTGTCTAGGGCCTACAAGAGAAAGAGCTTCGAAACTGCAGGTACAAAGGAGAAAAATGAGCAATGTTTCCCTGTTAAGAGAAGGAAATCAGTGCCACTCACAGGATCAATGAAACCCTCAGTTGCATTGGCTCAGGATTTGGTACATCACAATTCCAGTTTTGAAATTGGAAGAAATATTTATGACATGCGACAAGGTGGTGGCAAGAAAATTCCCCCAAAGGAAGACTATCAAAGAGCAGTGGAGGTCTTACATGTACCATCAACATGCATAAATGAAGGTTTGGATTTTCCGAAGGAGAACCAAGAACAAGATGAACTGGTTCATGATTTACAGGATTGCAATTTGCTACCAGATTGGTTGGGTAACAGAAATAGGGAAAGGTTGGTGGACTCAAGCACAGTTAAAAGTGATGGGCATAAATCTTTGTTTTCTTTGTACGACCTGGATTTACCAGTTGAAAACAATGCAAAATGCAAGTCTTTATTTGAGACATATCACATAAATAGAGTGAGTAAGTCTATTGTTGATGAAGTATGAAACTATTCAGTCTAAAGTAATAACACGGATCTCTGGCACATTGTTTATTCTTATAGTATTTACATGTTTGCAGTAGTTAAATGCTACTATATTTACAATCAAATGTGGAAAGTGGTCCTGCATTAGATTTTTCACTTTTTATTAGTTTTTATGGTATTTTATTTTGTACAAAATATTATTAAATATATAAACAAAATTACAAGTATTATGAAGGGACTGGTAACTACATTCCAAAACATAGTGAAATTCATTATGGCTACAAACTTTAATCCATCACTTCCTTGACCTAAACCACTTCTTTTTAATAGTTGAATATCCTGTTCTGTATATCTCTCCAATATCAGGTCCAAAAACTCAAACTTTTCTTACTTGAGCAAAATTTAGTCAGGCAAAAAGATTGCCATTAGAAACTGTAACTTTAATCAATTAGATACACATGGAGACCCTCTGTAACAATGAAAATTCTAGTCAGTCATTAGGCTAACAAGGCTACCAGTAACTTACTTTGTGAGTTTGAATGTACATGTACATGTAGTTAGTTCTGTGATACAGTGCTGATGAAACAGATGAATTCTGCTAACATGTTAACATCCTTCTTGCTACCCAATTCAAGCTGAGTCATTTTGGTGCTCGGCAAGCCTATGATGTCCAATCTTAATGTAATATTAGTTCCAGGACAATTTCATAACTTGGTCAGACAAATGTCTGATTACTGCCTGTTAATTCCATCACTGAAATAAACTACATGTATATGGTTTAAAAGAAAAGTACAGCATTGTTTACCTACATGTATAGAAGACGACTGGGTAGTGACAATGAAACTGTAGTTGCCTTTTTGGCCATCATTAGCTTAAGTTAGGTGAATGGATGTTTTTAAATTTCTACATCAAGACATCCTCACAGGCATAAAAATAAGGTAGTGTATACATGTATGATATAATTTTTATTAAAAACTGAGCTGTTACTGGATTGTCTGATATCGTACACCCTTGGTTTCATCAAGTTTCATGCCAGCCTTTTTCTTGTAGTCCTCCTGTTGTCTCTCTCTCATAATTCGTTGCATTTCAAGCAAATCGTTCTTGCTCATTCCTGTAAAAAGCAACACAAAATAATTAGGTGCAAACGGGAACTTTGCATTTATACCTGAAAGAGTCTAATAATCGTTTTGTGTGTGAAACTTGTTGTGAGTAACTGTAACTTAAGCCTGTGAGTAACTTAAAAGTCTTTTTTGCTCTCCAGGTATTTGAATTGAAGATTCCTTCGACTGAGTGGAGCAATATTAACAATTTTGACTCCTACAGTTCCAAGCTTACATTGTACTTTAAATGTCTGTCTTCTATTGCCATAATTGTCCATCTAACTAACCTCATCTCCTTGCTCCACACTGTAAGTTATGGATCCTTGTTTCTTTCCCTTTGATTCATGGCCTGCAGGCTTCAGGCTTGGGCCAAAAATCAAAGGGGAAAAATGCGGTCCATAACTTACAGTATGGACCTCAAACTTGGTTAGTAAGATGAATGTGTTCTTGTCACTGGTATTAATATTGCCAGGAGATATTAAGTTGTCCTTTAAATCTTTGTTGAGAACTAATGAAAAGAAAAGATTTGCACTAATAAAACAAGGCCAATTCTGATCGAAAATTAATACATAAATGTATAATAACATAATGATCCTGGAAATTTTAGCAATCAAATTGCATCAAATAAAGCTGGAAAAATCTCAGGTTTTAGTAATTCATCTTGCAGCTTCCCTGAGTTCATCATCCCTTACCAGGTCTTGTTGGTCCAGAGTGTAGGGATTTATGTCGGAGTTCATCATTTTCAATGGACAGCTGCTGCCTTTGTGCTTTTTTGAGAGCCTTTAGCCTTCCCTTTTTTCTCTGTTTGGCTTCCCACTTTTCCAGGTCATAAAATCTATAACAATGAAATGCAAAATTTTGTATGCAATTTCATACTCTTACAAGGTGAATAAGTGACACTGGACCTCAGCAATCATAAATTTCACTCCATGGTTATGATGGGCTTAAAATCTGAGATGTGTACCAAGTTTTTCATTCCTTACCTCTATATTTTTTGAAGGACTCTGATTAAATCGTTACCTATGTCAATTTTCATTGTGGGCATGGGTACCAAGTTTATCCAAACCATACAAAAATAGCTTCCAGGAAAATAGTTTGCTCCAAGGCATACAAGATATTGAATGACTTTGTCTATTGTTGACTTGAGTTTGTAGTAGTTGACTTGAGTTAATATCACTTTCATATCAAGGTTAACCTTTTGCACGCTTTGCATATCTAGAATTATTGTCATGTGACAATGACACGAATGTAGACCTTATATTTTTTAGTGTTTTGGTTGCCATTTGGATGTAAGATTTTGGTTTAGTGGAAATACAGTCGAAATTTCATGATCACTTTAGGCGACATTGCAACCATAAATGAAACATAATATGAAGAGATTGTCTTTACTTTTTATGTGGCAGTGTAACAGTGTTGTAGTCCTCTGCAAAGGTTTCAAACATTTTCTTCATCTCAAATCTGGGAAAGACTTCAGGATTGATTTTCTTCACTTCTTGTAGCCACAGATAAAATTCTTGTTGTTTGTTGAACATGTCACTGTCCACCAAGATTCCATATTTGCCATATTTCTCTTGGTTCACAGCTAATTTGGACTTCTTTTCTTTGTTTCTTTTGTCTTTCTTTTTTCTCCTCTTCTTACCCTGCAACATAAAGAGTGTTGCAATCGTTTCTGAAAGGTCAAGGATCTTGTGGAAAGTCAGAGAGTCCACTTTCTGGTTGGCTTAGATTGGAAGGGCACCAGAGTGACAGGCACAAGGCTGGACAATACAGGTCTCAATAAATCAAAATAATCAAGGAAGATGGACCCTCAAGTGACTCATATTTGTAGAAATCTGTAATGCTGGTTGCATCCTTAAAGTTTAACTTTTATGATAATAATATCCTCTTCAATGTAGATATTAATTTAAATTAACTTAGCATGCGGTCAACACCAACTTAATAAAGTGTATTATCGTTTGTTTCACGATGTAGTCACTTGAGATGTAGAATGCGACATTTCGACTGCTTACTGCTAGTCTTCTTCAGGCGATAAGGTCGACTGATTGCATGGTATCATTTATATCACAAAGGTCGGCTGTGATTGGTGCATTTCAATCCTCCGAGGGAACAGCTACTCACCAGAACAATGGAACAATAGGAGGATCGAAGTGCACCAATCAAAGCCGACCTTTGTGATATAAATGATACCGTGCAATCAGTCGACCTTATCGCCTGAAGAATAGCAGTAAGCAGTCGAAACGTCACGATCTACATCTCAAGTGACTACATCGTGAGACAAACGATAATAAACTTTATTATTGCATCTACCACGATGAATAACAACAACCTTTTCCTTGACAAACACCAACTTATATCTGCATGACAGTAACCAACTCGAAAGCTCATTGGCTACTTTGGTCACTGTACACAATTAAATATTGTTTCTTCTAGTTAATTTCTATCTGTATTTATTTTTCCTATATCATTGTAAACCATCTTACGTTAAGTTGTTTTTTCTGTAAATAGTGTGCGATAATAAAACTGAGTTTTCATTAGGAATACTTACAACTGTAACTTGCACAAAATTATTGAGGTGTCTACCAAATGCTAACTTGGTCTCTCAAAGGGTAAGTCAAATCTTGTGTGGTTTGTTTGACTCAGGTTCTGAACTTCAAGGAAAATGCTTACAGACAAGTTCCTATGTTTGAATTGGTTGAACTTCTGTTGTTTGGCAAATTGTGATTGACTTGAGTTATAGTGCACCTTGCAAAAGGTTTTTAACAGTAATCTTCCACTGTACATGTAGATTTATTTTACCAACCCACCATGACTGAATCATTTTACTTTAGTTAATTTCTATGCTGGATGTGTGAGATCTGATCAAAAGGACTAAATGTGGCTGCCAGGGGCAAATTTAGTACACTGACATTGAACCTCATGCCTCATATTGACTGTTGTAAAACAGACATATCTCTTGTTTGTAATGTAAACAAAGAACAGAAAAACACTGGTATACACTGTACCTGATGCGTCTTCTTTTCCTCTTTCCCCTTAGCTTTCTTGTGTGTTTTCTTGTTTGTTTCTGAGTCAGAAGATTCATTACTGCTGCTGCTTTCTGTGGAAGAATGTCTCTTAGATCTCCTCTTTTTGGATTTAGAAGTTCTTGATTTTTTCCTGCAATATAAAATAACTAAATATTATGTCTCTCTCTGTGCAATGCACAAGATATGTGCAGATAGCTAGTATACTGTAAACTTCTGGAAGAAACAACCTCCCGAAAATAGTAACTCCCGAAAGTAACATTGAATTATTTGGCTGCTAATAAATCTCAAGAGAAGCAACCCCTCTGGAAGTAGCGAGCCCTCCAAATCCCCAACCCCGACTCCCCGAAAAAAGTGAGACCCAGGTTCAACAGGATATTTATTTTTCCAAACAATAGTCAGGTCAAAGTTATGTATGATAACTTGATTTAAGGCACTCAATAGCAAGGAAAAGTCTGGTATCACTTATGCCATGAGGGGTTGTGAAATGTCAATTTGGGCTTCATCAGTTGCACTGTTTTAAAACAAAACCCATAGAATTTTCATCAAGTAACAGGAAAGGACTATAGGAAAATTTGATTCAATACCAATTTCAACAGGAACGTATTATAAGGAGCATTTCTTCAAATTTAAATTGAAAACACGACCATCACACCAAGATAATGTTACCGCAGACTAACATAGCAGTATGTCATGAAGTAGAAACAGCTTATGGTATCTGAAAAGCTTTCCTGCTTACAACTGACAACACGGTATAGACATAAAGAACCCACCCATGTGGCAGAAATGTAGATTTAAACTGGAACAAAGAATTGTTTTTCATGTTTTATAAATTTAAGAACTGTTTTTACCAATTTCCATCGTTTATTTTGAAAAAAGAGCTCAGTTCTACAAACTTTATATAATGTTTTTTGCTCCCTGAAAGTAATTACCCCTTGAAAGTAACAACCCCCCAAAGTAAACAGCTCCAAAGGCTGCTAATTCTCAAAGTAATGAGGGTCATTACTTTTGGAAGTTTACGGTAAGTTGATCTTTTCATAATTAATGCTACTTTCTCTATTAAGGGGTAATTATATACTTCACAAAAAGAGGCAAAACAGCAGCTAAATAACAAGAGCTTGAGCAAGGTACATTGTATCAAGGTCAAATGTAGATATATACATCACAATTTGTGTAATAAGTTATATGCACAATGTAAAACTGCCATAGAAAACACTGGATAAATTGCTGGATTTATACTCAAGATATATCATCCATTTGGGACAAACTTTGGCAACTGACGGTAGTTCATCTGATAATTTGTCTGTGCATAAATACAATGAAACCCCGCCTTACAGTCACCTCGCTAATATGATCACCACGTTACTACGGCCACTTTTTTATGTCCTGGCCAAACACCCATTCATGTACATTTACTTAGAAGAAAACCCCATTAGTGTGGGCTCCCCTGTTACTATGGCTAATGGCCACATTCTGAAATCCCAACCTGTACAATCCCATATAAACTTATTCCGTTTATACCGCCACTCGAACCAGTTATGTTCATTTTTCCAGTGTTAATATTGTATGAAATGATTGAAGTTTCATTTTTTTTTAAAGATTATATCTGCATTCCGGGTGCTTATTAAAGAACATTCATTTAGAAGATGGTGCAATTGTGATATATCTTATTAAGGCATCATTTGATTTAGACCAGTCATGAAATTTGGTACTACCTTGTTAATACAGCATGGTCTGTTGGTGACCGTATTAACGGGGCCACATTGTACAGGCAAACAGATGAATCATCCATCCAGGCAAACTATCACTGGCAGTAGTTTGTCCTGACAGGTATCAATGAAATGTACAAACATGTACTTGAAATACTTTAATAACCACCCAAAAATGTCAGTTACTTAAACCAATTTGGAGGTTCCGTTACAGTAATACAGTTAAGAAATTTGTTTGCAAGAAACTGGGTTGTCACAATGTTTTAAAGTAGGCAGATTTGGCAACTTTTTTTAAAAATAAAATTGACTCCAGTCACCCAGACAAAAGAGAAGAAATGATAACAGAGAACATCCAAGAAAAACAGTTTTAACAACTGATAATATTTCTATTTCTGACCCATTTGCCATAACAGTGTTAGTTACCTTACTGGGCTATTGCTACTAGAACTGCTTGATGTTCTTGAACCTCCAGAGCTTCCTTCACAACTTTGGCTACGCTTTCTAGATTTTCTTTTCTCCTACAAAGAACACACATGATACTACTCAGAGTAGATTGAAAGGTGACCAAATCCTGCACTTTGATTGATTACCAGAGTACGCAAGAAGAGGATATCGTGCCCACTTAGGATTACATTTTACTGTTTTGTCCCAAAAGAAAATGGTGCTTCATGAAGATGCTAATAAGTGGCCGGGTATTCCGGAGTTTAGCTTCAGTTAGCCTGAAGAGCACTCCGGTTAGCCAAAATTAGCTCAGGTTGCTTGCGGTTAGCCTTCATATTGGGGTTTATTTGACTTCAACTCAAATAAACTTATAAGTCGTTTCAACCTGCAACCTACAATCTGCAAAATTCACCTGCCGCTTTCTGATCTCTTTCTGCTTTTAGTTCATCTCTTGGAGAAAACATATGTACCGTAAGTAAAGGCTCTCCTTGCAGTCGCCCCATGTAAGGGAATCTGGAATCCGGAATCCACCGTATTTTTGCCTTTGTAATCCGGAATCCAGGCCTTTGGAATCCGGAATCTAGCCTCTGGAATCCAGAATCCTACCTCTTGAAACCTTCTCTGTAAAAACTTTGATATCTGCTCGACTGCTCACTTGAAAGTATCATATTTGTCAACATGGTGGTGTTGTGGTCTTTGATTCTTAAATAGGCCAGGGCTCATGCTTCATTTGTTGAAGATCACCATTTTGACATGCACTGTATTGTCTTTGTGTCAGATTTGTGACATTTTTGGCCCTGAAATAACTTCAAGTACAGCATGCTTTTTTAGAACTGTCAACACTGTTCACGGGAGTTGCTTGGCAATTTTTTTTTTTGTTAATTTTTTAAAAATTTTTTTAAAAATAATACTAGTGAGCAGCACTTCAGCAACAGATTTAACGTTAAATCCATGAGCCCCAAAGTTAAACATTGCACATTCACAGGATTTTAGTCATATCCTTCACGCAATTCTGTAGGTGTTTTTTGCTGTTCACACCCTAGTCGGAACGTGATTTGTACTCTAAAGAATAG